AATAGTTCTTACTTTAAACTGTTTAGCGTGCTGTTTACAAAGATCTAGACGTATTTTAAACTTGGAAATAATTTCTCATCTGAATTAAAAATTTGGAGACTAATATTCTGTGAGACATTCTAAATGTTATCAACGATTCTGTTTGTGTATTTTCAAAGAAATAAGTTTATTTTCCTCGTTTTAAATTATCCATAACTGATTCTATAAACGTAAGGTATTGTGTAAAAAAGTTTGAGAGAGGACGTGTGCGGTAATATACGGATTTACTTCAAATGAATCATCAGATTCAAAGAGCTATATTTTCATAAATAAATGACACATAATGATAAATATTACATGGATAAAGGAAAAATGTAAAAATTTTTATTTACGAGATTCAATATATAACGTCCTTTAGTTAATCGTATAATGTTATGTAAATTCTTGCCCAACACTTTGTTGTGTCTTTGGTAATTAATTGTATAACAAAAGAAATCCATTGCTTCAGTTCACATAGATTTGTGGGGAATTGTGGCAGTACATTTTATCTTTTAAAATCCTCAAGGGGAGAAATCGCATGGGGTCTTATCCGGTGACCTAGGTGACCAGCTGTGTAACATAAAGTCATCTTGATCCACTACAACCAATCTAATTGCGAGATAGCTTCGCAATAAGAAAACGACGACCCTTTGTAGCCCAAATGGTACAAACTTTAAAAGCTACTTGAACAAATTTAATTTAGTTCCGTCATCTTCCTGTGATTGCGATATTGCTGGCGAGGAAAATGTAGAACATGTGCTCCTTCTGTGTTCCAAGTTTGAAAGAGAACGGAATATCCCAAGACTAGCATTCAAGGGACTTAACGTAAATTGGCCTCCGAATTTTCCTCAACTGGTTTCCACCAGAAGTACTTATTCAGATTTCCAGAGTTCAGCGAGTTTGTTATGAGTGTTTGTAATTCTCTCTTCCTAACCTCAAGAAATTATTTATTTTTAAATGTTTTTTTTAATTTCTTTCTTTTTTTTTTTTTTATTCCTTTGTGTTTTGAGCTTATTACTTACTTCTGTGAGCCCTGTGTGATACTTTGTGGTGCACGGGGGTTTTATCATTGTTTTCAATAAAAAAAAAAAAAATTTAAATGGATTATTTTCTCATCTTTTTGAAAAAGGAAGTTGAAGAGATATTTTATCTGGGGAAAAGCCAGATTTGTAATATATTCAATTTACTGCCACACTAATGGGTTATTTATTTATTTGCAATAAAAAGGGATCCACATAAATCTTTGATTCGGACACCACACAAAAACGTACATTTTTGGTGAGTCCCGTTCATGTTTAATCCAGGTATGAGGATTTATGAAGTTAATGTGTATATGTATGTGCATATTATGACAGCTCAAAAGCCCAGTCAAATAGAAAATAGACTGAAAAAAAGCCGGGTGCAAAAATCATCTGTTTCCATAACCTCAGGCATGTAGAGACAAAAATTCTATAGATGTTCGTTATCACTTGGCCTCAGTGCTTGCAAGCATTGCAATTTGAATAGTTTGTAACACAATTGTTTCCTTCGCACACTCTAAACAGTATGTTGAGGAATGCCCAGTTCTCGACTGGCATAAATAGTCAATTTCGCTGGGGTTCGCAGATAAAAGTGTGTGTTTCTCACTCTTTCAACATTTTGCGGAAATATGTCTGGGCTCCTTCTATTTTCCATTTACTAAGGTATCAAATATTCTTAACCTGAGTCGTAGTTAAGCGTTTAACTCGGTATTTTTTACGAAATTCACCCTGAGCATTGTTACAGATCACTGGCGTAGCTAGTTTTGAGTGGGCCGTGTATCAAAATTCCTTTGGGGCTCTTTTTTAGGAATGAGAACCTTGTTAGTGGGACTGTAGATACACATATTGTGGCCCCTGTAGCTTTAGGGCTTCGTATCATTGATTCAGTGTTAGTTACGCCCCTGTTACAGATCCACATCTTACAAATGACAGCACACAAAAAGCTTTCTCCTGCGCGAACATCATTATTCTGCCATTACCATGAAAAGCATCTGAAACAGCTTTCATGAAATAGCTTTACGAAGAACACACACACGAGCGCCATCTATTGTTCATAATATAAACTTCCATATTTTTCTTTTTACTCATTCCATAACGTTTAGATTTAAAAACATAGTATTTTGAAATCAGGTGATTTATTTTGAATTAAATTTTTTAAACTTTTCAATATCTGATAAGTAACAAAATTGATGATTCTTGAAGGAATTTTTTATTCACAATTTCAGTAAATGAGAATGAATAAATCTAAAATCACAATGATTTCAGGGGTTTTTTTTATGTGTAACATCTTTACTCTCGGTTGCTGGATATTTGTTGGAGTGATTTCGTGAAAAAGGACGGAAATGCGTAACAGGAAGTCGGGGAAGCGCGCGCTGTTTGATTTGACCAATAAGCGCGCTTGGCGGTTTCTCTTCGCTACCCTCGCTTCGGGGTCCAACTCTAGTAGCCATCAAGCAGGCAGCTTTTTTATATTATTAAATGTAGCATTTTATTCGAATTCAAAAACTCGATTTCGTTTTCATGACTTTAAATCCACTTCGCTCATACCAGCAAGTCTTATTAGACTTCATTCAGGTTAAGCTTGCGATTCTTACGCTCAATTGCCAAAGTGTCAGGGCTCGTTGTGTATGAAATCTGAAGTTATATTTATATGTGTAAACTATATTAATAACTATATTTCCTGTTAAGCGTCTGACAAAGTTCATTATTCTTAAAAAAATACGAGTAAGTAATATGGAATTATTTGATTAAATATTTTAGTGCGAATCATTTTCATACTTTGAGTTTAATTCCAGTCGCTGTCAATATAAAATTTTTAATTGTGATTAAAAAAGATCTATCGATTAAAAAAAACTAATTAAGTAAAGGGTATTTTTGTGATTTTCTCTAATATTTCTAATTTTTAAACATGCGTTTGATGGTATCTCTTCGCTACCCTCGTATCGGGGTCCAACTCTAGTAGCAATGAAGCCACCAGCTTTTTGTTTTATATTGTTAAATTTAGCATTTGAAAAGATTGGAATTCAAAAACTCGGTTTCGTTTACTTGACTCTAAATCCACTTCGCACATACTAGCAAGTCTTATTAGACTTCATCCAGAATAAACTTGCGATTCTTACGTTCAATTGTCAAAGTGTCAGGGCTCGTTGTGTATGAAATCTGAAGTTATATTTATATGTGTAAAATATATTAATAACTATATTTACTGTTAAGCGTCCGACAAAGATCATCATTCTTAAAAAAATACGAGTAAGTAATATATGGACATTATTGATCGTCAAACAAGTGGACTGGGTATTGTTAGTCAATATATTGGGGACATATGTGCGGCAGAATGCTTATTTGAAATTGGACAAACAGAGTCATTTCGGTGGTCGCATACATTTCTCCGAATCAAACAGTTAAAAAAAATTAAAGATTTCCTGCATTTTGTACTTTTACCGTATACGGAAGGTGTGGAGTTCTGCTCTTTTTTTAAAAAAACTCACTCCCTTCCCATGCTTTTGAATGGTGATTTTAACGTTAACTTCAGTTTGCCAGAAGCTGAGCCGTTCATAGATTTTCTGAAAGATGAACTCAAGCTCGACATGAACACAAATCGAAATGTTTCGACAACTAACAGTGGTACTGTTATTGAAGCTGTTTTTCAACGATTTTTAAAATACTTTGAAATCATAAATATATGTGCCATATTTTAGTTTTCATAAAACTATTGTCTCCGCTCTTTCCCAAATTTAATAAGAATAAATATTTTTGATAAAAAATTGCATCACTCCTTTTGTTAATTAAATAAAATTTTTATTAAAGATATAATTATTCGATAGAAAATTATTTCCAATCATACCCGATTCAATTTTTTCAGGGTTAAAATCACTATTGCGTATTTACCACGATAACATACCAGATGTTACACATCAAATGCGACTACTGTAAGGCTCGTTTTTTTTTTTTTTTTTTTTTTTTTTTTTTGCATATTGCGGGAAATTTTAAATGTGTATATGTATGTGAAAGCTTTCAACTCCAACTTATCTCTCAATTTTAAGAAATTTACACAAGTAAAACCATAAATGAATCATGATTTCCACCAATGATAAACTTTAAGAAAGTATTGGATCTATGCACAATACATCTAAAAAGTATTCAAGCCCCCACGAAGCATAGAAGTCAGGAGAGTGACGCACCAATTCAGTGTCGTCCTCATCACACTAACAAGTCTTTAATCTGAAAAGAGTCCGTTTCCAGTATCCTTGCACAAGACCATAGGCTCCTGAATTTCATAGTCCGCAAGAGAAAGGCTTGCTATTACAATGCGTAAAAAGGAGGCGCTCTACCCACCGGTCACCATATGCAAACATTTGATGTGCCCAAGTTAATTAATTTTAATTTTAAACTAAACTCAAGCACTTATATACCATTTTTAAAGTTTATGTAGTGTTAAATGAATTGTGTTCCTATGCGCAGTCAGTTTACTCACATTTCCTTGGAAATAGGAATATGCCAGTGTTGTAATGCACACCCCCGCATCGTGGTGGGGGGACAGGATTCTAGAGTGCCCAAAATCTGACTGACAAATCCGAGTACGTACCCTTTATAAGATTCGATTTTGAGCCCCAGACCTGACTTTGCAAGGGGCCCCAATATTCTCCCCTACGCCGCTGGAATATGCATTAAGATTTCGCTTGCTATGTGTTGTACAATTTTTTTCAATTCCTACCATTAGTTCACTCCCCCTATATAAATATATATTTATTTATATATCTTGTTCCAATTTTCAATCGTTAATAAAATATTTTCTATTCCTCCATTCAAGTTCAAATACCTTTTTTAAAACTTGTAGTGGAGGACACTTGATGTTAATACAGCTTTTTCAAATATCAATTCAATAATTAAATTAAAAAATGAGTAAATAGTAACAAAAATAAAAGTGCAACTGTATATACAGAAAGGAAAATCGTTCGTTTTGTCCCTGTAGCGCAATGGATAGCGCATTGGACTTCTAATCCAAAGGTCGCGCGTTCGAATCCCACATGGGATAGCCTAATTTATGAGAATGTGGTTCCTTTTTTACTATACTATTTTATTAGAAAAATTAAATTTAATGAATGAATACATAAATAGTGATATAAACAAGCAAAAATAGTCTAGCACCATATATAGAAAGGAAAATGGAAAATTGCAATGAAAACCGTTACCTATTTTGTCACTAAATATTGTGATTCTGTCCTATGTATATACATATTTACATTAATTGTAACTATTTAATAAAAAGTAACTAAAAAATGAAAAATTTCTATGTTGACCTAAGTAGGAATTGACTTCAAAAATTTTTTTTTATAATTCTTGTTTATTATATTTTTCGGAAAAAAATTGTGGCTTTAAAATTTATACTGTTGAGTTTAATAAAACATTTCATGATTCTCATTGTCGATTTTTGCTTGTGTAATCACTAAATTGAATTTTGTAAGCATATCTTTAAAGGGTTCAACTTAACTGAAATAAATTATTTTGTTTTTGTATAACTTTTTTTTATGTTCCTTCAATTACTCAGAAAGAGATCGCGAAGTTCGAGGCCGGCGTTTACTTCTGTCGAGCCCTGGTGCCAATGAATATCGCCGTAAGAGGGTTTCATGCTTGATTAAATCTATCGGGGCTCCAAATCCTCACTTTGGGGTGGTGCAGAAATTTGGAGAGTGAGATGACAGCTCAAGTGCCGTCCTTATCCTTGAAAGAGGCTTAATATTTCGAGGTCTGTCATCAATAGCCCTCGTGTTGCTACGAAATGCACAACGCTCTAATAAACATTCAACTCAACTTATTACTTAAAAATTTTCATTTTGTCCCTATAAACGGTTTTTTCAATTTGTGAACAATTCTTGTTTGTGAACTTATAAAGACAAACAACTGAAAATAAAGGGAATTTTATCAAAAATATGTTTTGAAATAATCTGATATCTAGCATCCATATCGATATAAGCATTGCTAATTTCTAATGCATGTATTAAAAAAACTATATAAGGAAATGTTTTGGATTTTAAAGCCATTAAAGAACTTTAAAAACATAAATACATGTATAAAAAATTATGTAATTATAAAGCTTTCATAACACAAATTGAAATCATTTCTATACTTTAAATTTTAAATGGAACTTGCATATTTAATACTTATCATTCTACAGAAGAAAAATTCAGATGATTTTCATTTGTGCTCCTTCGAAATTAATGTTGTATAACAGAGCAAAAGAAACTCTTCTATTTGATATGTATTGATAAAATAAATCCTTAACAGCAAACGCCTTTTTTAAGAATATTTTTAAATCTCTCTGAAGTTCTGAAAATCCTGCAACCAAACAGTATCATAACTGAGATTTGATTTGACTCTATAATTTACGTTTCACTCTAAGACAACATGGGGGTTAAGGCCAGCAGACCTCGTAATTTTGAACCATGGTTAAGGTATCCGACTACTTGCGACAACTTTTTTTTTTAAAAAATGGGGGTATGGGGATTTATTTGTGGTTTTTAGATTTGCTTAGTACATTTTAAGAAAAATATGCTAAAATTAAGAAGAGAAAAAGAAATTAGTATTACTAAAAGGGGAACAAATGGGTAAAAATTTACAAAAAATAACATAAACGGAGCCCATTCTGTAATAAAAGTTTACGAACAAATTTTCACTTTTTCAATTCTGATGTGTTGCTATGTTATTCATTTTTAAATGACCTTCAGATAAGAGATATTTTAATTTTTACAAACACAAGAGCACTTTATTTTAGTTATATGAAATTGCTTAAGCTATATAAAAAGTGATTATATAATAACATAAGGGACTGCACATTACGTAATAAAACAGTAATTGATAAATCTGAAGGTTAAAACACTTCTACTATTACACAGAACATACACACAAACAAAAAATGTCAGTTATTTTCAAAACTTTTTTAGCAATCGCTGTCCCCGTTTGAGCATTTTCAAAAAAACACATTTCGAGTAAAATGCTTTTTAAAGTATAACATATCTTGCTTATAGTAATGGCATCTACTTTTACTAAAACCCTTGAAGTTTTTGTTCTAATGAACGGAAAATAATACACTTAGTATTTTTATAAGGTTAATAAGATAGTCTAAAAAATAAAATCATAAAAAATATTGTCAATTTTCGGCAAAATTCACAATCTTAAGGTATCCGACTAGGTTGTGAAGGTGTTTTTAGGTGTTAGATATTAGAGCCATTAGAAGAAAAAGAACTATAAATATTGAGGAAAAAGAAGGAATAACATATAAAACTCTCAGGAGAATTTTAAGTTGTTTTTCTAATATTTACTTTATGTAACTTACAAAAATATTTTTTAAATGTATTTTTTGAAGAATAAAATTTTCTCGGTAATTTGTGCCCGAAAAAAAAGCGGATATCTCTAAGACAATCCAATCAAATTCAATGAAATTTATAACGCTTATGTTATAAACCCCTAACAGTAATTTTTACAGCAATTTTTAACTTGTAACATAAAGTAATTTTGACAAAAAATTATTATTATTTGTGTGAATGCTTATAAAATATTTATTTCTTAAAATATTTTTACCCTGCAGTTTGTGACACTTCAGATAAATCAAGAAATATGGCAATGAAATTAAAATTACATTATGTCAAATATATCTTTATTTATGTCTTCTCTCTTTTCTTTTGCTAAATATTTATGAAAATAATATTTTTTAAAAAACAAGGGGTGATACATGTTATTTATTAAAAATTATGACTCTTTAAACCTATTTATGTTCTTTAAAATAATAAAATTCTTCCGAAAATCTATTTTTGAAAAATTGGTCTTCAAACCTAGTTGGATGCCTTAAGCTTCACGCTAAACTAAGCTTTACGTACGAGTATAATTCCCTTTCGGCAGTAAGTAGCATTAATTACAAAAAAACTGAACTTAATTTACTGACAATAATTAAAAAAATTAACAGTAAGTAAATAGTGTCGAAGAAGCGTTCAGTTCATGGAATGTTAAGCAAGAAAAGTAATTTTTTTCTTTTTATTTAATCCGAAATAGTTGATACTGAAAGGAAAAAATGTTGCTTAGAATTTACAAAACTCAAAGTTGTTGATTATTTTAAATCGGTATTTGTGTGCGTAATCTCTTAAATCAAATTATTGATCTTATTTTCCTCACAACTAAAGAAAATCTTTCAAGAATTCTGAAAGAATACTTGCACGCCGAATTTGTTAATTGAACAAAAAGTTGTTTTCCTCATGTGTTCCCATCTGGATTATAATAAAAACCAAATCAAGCTTAAAGCATCTAAATTGGTGAAAAGAAAATGTTAAAAATTTGGTAATTAAACTGGATGGACAATAAAAATTGTTTGAAAAATTATTTAAGGGAATACCAAGAATTTTCTAATTTATTTGTAGCAAAAAAAAAAAAAGATTGGTATCTCAAGAATGCTGGGTAATGTAAACAAGAAAATAAAATCTTAATGTATGTAAAGAAATATAAAGAAACTTAAATCAAACAAAATCATCAGGTAACTACATTTAATAACGACAATTTTAAAAGCTACTCTCAAAAATCTACTCAAAATTACAATTGATAGGAATCTTTTCAATATTTACATTGAATCATGATCAACAAAATCAGTTCCAATTTCTTCTTCATACTGTTAAATATAGAATATTGGAAATATGTATAAATTCTAGGGGTTTTTAAAAAGAAGCAGAAATTTTAAAATGCATCACATTTTGGGGAAACTTTGTAGGATATTTTTGAATTTATATATGTAACTATAAGAGACTTAAAACTTGTTTTATAATTTTGAATAAAGTAATATCGTGAAATAATAACAGAAAGAGTTTACTTTATTAATAATTCCTGTGAAATTATCCTTTAAAAAGAGAAACATGTTATGTTATTTTTACTAAATTCTGTGTTTGTAATGAGACGAGGAATCTCTCTCTCTCTCTCTCTCTCTCTCTCTCTGTCCATGTATGAGAAATTTAACTAACACAAAATGAGAGAATTTACTATAAAACATATTCAAATTTTTATGTGAAAGAAAATATACTTGAAAAGAACCTATTAGTGTATATATATATATAAATGTATATATATACATGAAAATAGTAAAATTCATTGTATTTTATTTTAATAATTTTTTTTTTTTTGCTTTATGGGTTATCCAGATTAACTTCGATATATATAAAACTTGGAAAAAAAGATTTAATTAATTTACAATATCCTTTATTACATAGACCAGGGGTGGCCAACCTTTTTGGGAAGATTGCAACTATTTGATAAAAAAAATAATAATTATGCGTGCCACTTCCAAATCTTCCGACAAACAAATATGGAAAAGTGAAAAAAATGTTACAAGTTTATTGTGGGATTTTTGCGCAAAAATACCACATTTTTTAATGCAAGTCTATGTAATCGAAATTTAAAAATAATATAATAAATAAGATGAAGTACACACACACACACACAAACTTATGTTTTATTGTTAGTAAACTTTCTGCAAATTTAATTAATTAGGTTAGGTATAAGATAAAAATGAGTAAATTGAATCATTTAATTCGAAATAATTGTTAAAAGCTCGGTATTTACTTAATGTAGCTTTTGAATTACTACTTTTTATTACCAAGCCATCTATATTAGGATTAGCTCTTACAGGTGCTAAGAAATTAGGTTAGGTATAAGATAAAAATGAGTAAATTGAATCATTTAATTCGAAATAATTGTTAAAAGCTCGGTATTTACTTAATGTAGCTTTTGAATTACTACTTTTTATTACCAAGCCATCTATATTAGGATTAGCTCTTACAGGTGCTAAGAAATTAGGTTATTATAAGTGCACATTATCTAGTATTGAGTGATGTAACGCACGGTATAGTTCCAAGACCGAAATGTAGGTGCCGCCATTACAATATGGGCTTGGACCGGAAGTGTGACTGTACGAAACACTGTAGTACCGTCAGAGAGAGTTTGGATCGGAACAAGCGTGCGTTCTCCATTTCGTTGTCCAATCCTGGACTTTGTAAACTT